CTGCAAACACACACATACACACATACACATACACACTTGCAAACACACACACACACACACTTGCAAACAGGCACACGCACACACACACACACACACACACACACATACACACACTCACACACACACACACACACACACACACACACACACACACACACACAATGAGTAATCCTAAACCACAAATTAATGTGTATACCGCCCAGGGCGTGGTCCAGTGTCACAGGGCCAATTGTTGGGGGGAGTTAATATAATTGGCGAGCAGGAATGGCGCGCGAGAGAGAAATAATTGTCACAATAAGTAGCATACTACATCATTGTCATCTTATGGACCTGATAAATGAGATTTTGAAGATTGTGTTCTAGACAAATACAGCACAATTCACTTACACCGTCGTCGGTGTATGCATGCACGTATGCGGTGGACTTAACACCCAATTCATAAGGGTTACGGGGTTGGGTGGGGTTTTTTTTTGGGGGGGGGGGGGGGGGATTCTAATCGAGGATATCAATCTTGCTGAAGGGATGTTGTATATCCCTCTCAGCCCGGACTGGCCTTGACAGGTAAGGTCGAAGTCCTCCTCCTATATGATCGAAACTGAGTTGATTGGGGAAATTGGCGTAAAACATCCTACATGGAAAATATCGTTAATCTCCTAAACATTTATTTGTTTGTCAACAGATCGGTGTGATGTGTTTGGGCTCTCTGTCAGCTTTGATGTCATCAGTTGGGAACGTCATGTAGCAAACACTAAATCACAGACTCTGCCACTTTGGACAACTTAGTCCATCCCACAGTACAAACTGCAGCTCCGCCCACTGGTGTCCCGCCCAATCAGCACGCAGTACGTCTTGTGACTGACATCTCGACTTCGCAGTGATTGGAATCGGGGATGAAACAGGAAGCACAGGAAGGCAGTTCCGCGTCCTGTCACAGTGACATCAGCTCACACAGTTCAAGAGCTACAGTAGTGTCTGCACAGGTAACATTGTCATTGTTTTTCTTTACAGCAAACATTAAAATTTTCTTTTCGTCTTCAAGACTACCGTTAAAGGTACATGTTTTTAGAATAATGCTTACATCGCTGAGTGTTACGGGTTGTTCATTTTCGAATTGTAGTACGGTAAGTCATGTACTGGTCATTGCTCGCTCTCTCTCTCTCTCTCTCTCTCTCTCTCTCTCTCTCTCTCTCTCTCTCTCTCTCTCTCTCTCAAC